GTGTGTGGGAGATTGCCTGGCAGCACTCATTGTTGTGTTGATCCTGACATGAAATGCCCAACACACTCACAGTTTTCTTCAGGCAGACACCAGTAGCTTGCAATCTGCCACTGACTCAAACAGGGTCACTTTGAGGCCTGGGCACAGTGGCATATGCCTGTAATCTCAGTGGCTCAGGAGGCTGAGACATGAGAATCCGGAATTCAAAGCTGGCCTCAGCAATGGCAAGGCCCTACGCAACTCTGTGAGACCCTGTCTCTAAATAAAATGCAGAACAGATCTGGGGATATGGTTCAGTGGCCACGTGCCTCTGAGTTTAGTCCCCAGTAACCACCCCCATCTCCAAAACAAAAACCAGCATCACTTTGAAACTGAAAGCCCCCTCTGGGCTTTCACCACCATCATCACCACTTTAAAAATTCTCAAAGTCAAAATAGAGACACAACATACCCAAACCAATCAGATACAGCAAAAGTAGTACCAAAAAGGAAGTTTATAGCAATCAACGCCCACATCAAAAAAAGGAGAGATTTTAAAGAACCTATCACTGCATTTCATGGAACTAGAAAAATAATTAAAAGCTTATTAAAAGGAAAGAAACAGTAATGATCAAAGCAGAAATAAATGAAGCCTAAAAAGCAATACAAAAGATCAATGAAACAAAGAACTGGTTCTTCAAAATATATGAAATAGACAAGCCTTAGCTAGACTGAGGACAGAAGAGTCAAATCAGAGATAGAAATGGAAGCATTACAACTGACACCATAGAAATACAAAAATCATTAGAGATTGTTATAAAGTATGTACCAACATGTTTGATAATTTAGGAAAAATGAACAAATTCGTAGACACACACCTTCTCAAGACAGAATCATGAATAGAAAACCTAATCAGACCAGTAACAAATGAGATTGATGGAAAGTTTTTTATTAGTAATTCAAAGAAAATCCTAGGACCAGAGGGCTTCACTGCTGAATTTATCAAACATTTAATCTGAATCTCCTTAAGCTATTCCAAAACAGGAAGGAACTCTTCCAAACACATTCTAAGAGGACATTACTCTGATACCAAAAAACAGATAAGGACATAATAAAAACAGGAAAACTACAGAGCAGTTTGATGAACAAAGACTGCAAAAATCCTCAACAGAATTTTTGCCAGCCAGATACAATAGCAAATTTAAAAGATTATTTAGCACAATCAAGTAGGATTCATCCCAGTGATGCAAGGCTGAAAAGTGATACACCACATCAACAGAATGAAGGACAAAAACCACACCATTATCTCAATTGAGGGAGAAAAGGAATCTGACAAAATTCAACATCGTTCTAATACCTTCTAATAAAAATGCTGAACAAATATATAAGGAACATACCTCAACAAAATAAAGATCATTTATATTAAGCGAACAGTGAATATATTGTATGGGGAAAAGCTTTCTCTCTGAGATCTGATACAAGATAAGGATGCCCATTTTTTTACATTTTTATTCAAGATAGTGCTGGAAGTCCTAGCTGGAGCAGTTAGGAAAGAGAAGGAAATGCAGGGCACCCAGATTGAATAAGAAGAAATCAAATTGTCACCATTTGCAGATGACATAATCTCCTGTACAGAAACCTCAAAGACTCTACCAAAAACTGCTAAAATTAATGAATTCAGGGAAGTTGCATGATATAAAATTAACATATAAAATCACTAGCATTGGGACTGGGGATATAGCTCAGTTGGTAGAGTGCTTGCCTCATATGCGCAAGGCCCTAGGTTCAATCTCCAGCAACACACACACACACATGCATCACTATGTGCTATATGCCAATAGTGAATTACCCGAAATAGAAATCAAGAAAGCAGTCCTATTCATAATAGCTACAAAAGATAAAATACCTAGAAATAAATTTAACCAAAGAGATGAAATTATTTCTACAGTAAAAATTTTAAAGAAATTGAAGAGAACCAAAACTAATGGGAAAAACATCCCATGTTCTATATTATATATATATATATATATGTATATTTTTTTTTTCTATATAACAATATAGAAGAATCAATATTGTTAAAATGTTCATTCTACCCAAAGCAACTTACTGATTAATTGCAATTCCTATTAAAATACCAGTGGTATACTTCACAGGACTAGGAAAAACAATTCTAAAATGTATATGAAACACACACACACACACACAGAGACACACACACAGACACCCCTGAATAGCCAAGGTTACTGTGAGAACAAAGAACAAGAGACATTACACTATCTGAATTCAAAACATATTACAGATTTGCAGTAATCAAAATGGCATGGTATTGTCATTAAAATAGAATAGCCTAGAAGTTAACCCACATATCTACAGCTAACTGATTTTCAACGTAGGTACTAAAAATATGAATTAGAGGTAGTCTTTTTAATAAACAATGTTGGGAATATTGGAAACCCACATGCAGAATTAAACTGGACTTCCATTTCTCACTGATTAAAAACTCAACCCAAAATGGATTAAAATCTTAAATGGAACACTCGAAGCAAATTTCGAGAAGAAAACCAATGGGAAATACTTCAGTCCATTGGAATGGGCAGGGACTTTATGGACAAGATGCCAAAAGTTCAGGAAACGAGCAAAAGTAGACAAATGGGATTTTATAAAAGTTTCTGCACAGCAACACTCAACAGAATGCAGACAACATACAGAATGGGAGACAATATTTACAACATATACATTTGACAAGAGGTAGATACATAGAATATATAACAAACTCCAAATAATACAACCAGATTTTAAAAATAGGCAGTAGATCTAAATAGACATTTTTCAAAAAAAAAAAAAATAAATAAAATAAATAACAAATGGCCAACAGGTACGTGCAGAAATGCTCAACATCACTAATCATCAGGGGAATACAGATCAAAACCACAATGAAGTATCACCTCCAGTAAGAATGGCTGGTATAAAAAAGACTAAAGATACCATGTGGTAACATGGATGTGGAGGAAAGGGCACCTTGCACACTGTTGGTGGCAATGTAAATTAGTATAGCTGTTATGGAAAACAGTATGAAGCTTCCTCATAAATATTAAAAATAGAACTATGATGATGATGGTCCAATAATTCTACTACTGGGAATATATTTGAAGGAAATGAAATTGGTATGTAAAAGAACTATCTATCCTACTATGTACATTGCTGGATTCTTCACAGTAGCAGAGAAGTGGAAATAAGATTATCTAAGTGTTCATGAACTGATTAATGGATGAAGAAAATGTGGTATGTAACATGCACAATCACATCTTTTGCAACAACATCAATGGAACTGTTTCATTTTGTGAAATGAAACAAGTCAGGTACAAAAAGACAAGTACCACATGATCTCATTCATGTGGAATATAAAAAAACATTTATTTCATAGATGTGAGTAGAATGGTAGTTACCAGAGGTCAGGGACAGTGTGGAGGAAGGGATGAGGAAAGTTCCAACAGTGGGTACTAAGTTATAGTTAGATTGGAGCAAAAAACTCTGGGCTATTGTTGTAAAGTATTATGACTTATAGATAACAGTTATGAACTGCACATTTCAGAAGCTAGAACAAAGGATTTTGAAAACTTTTAACAAAGAATTGTGCTTAGAGAAATAGGTGTGTTTACTAATTTAAATACTATGTGCAGTGTACACGAATTGAACATTATGTTTTTGTGTATCAAAAATAAAAACTTAAAAAATGAGTAATTCTAGAATTTAGCTGTGGCAACATCCAGTGTTGTACACTTTTCATCTTTATAGCAAAATAGCCACATAGAATTTTTATATTCCTTTATCAAGAATTTAGAACCTAACTGAAGAGTAATTTTTCTTTTCCATTCTTTTCATAACTCCAAAGTCTTAATTACAGTTACTTAAGCTAATTCTGACCATGAACAACAAAATTAAGAACAGTAGGTAAAAGCTCTTACATTACATACATTTGACAAGAGGTAGTTACATAGAATATATAACAAACTCCAAATAATACAACCAGATTTTAAAAATAGGCAGTAGATCTAAATAGACATTTTTAAAACAAAACAAAACAAAACATACAAATGGCCAACAGGTACATGCAGAAATGCTCAACATCACTAATCATCAGGGGAATACAGATCAAAACCACAAACCTCCTGGCATATAGATTTTCAACTTCTCCTCTTTTCTAATGTATTCAGTAAGGAAAAGTGATTCTTTCTAGACCATTGCACTCTCTTAGATAGCATTCTGTTATCTCTTTCATACAATGTACTTATTCAATAAGAATTGTTAGTAATGTTTAAAGTTAGTAATTTTAAAATCATTTAAAAGCTTCCTGGTTTTGTGTCAGCAGTATTTTCCTTTCCTGTTCAACTCACTGGGATAAGAAAATTTTGTGGTCTTAACTGTTCAAGATTAAAATTTCAGTCAGTCATCTCCAAATAGCACTTGCTTTCACATCCCTTAGGAATTGTGGATACCAGTAACACAATTTTCAATAATTTGTAGTTCATGTAAGAACTTTTACATTAGGTCAAATTCCTTGGGTTTACTTATCTAATAGATGTTGCTGATCCTGAATCCAGGGCCTTGTGCCTACTATGCAAGTGCTCTACAACCGGTATAATTTAGTACCCCCTTTAAAAAAAAAAAAAAAAATTCATCCCCCTTAAGGTTAAACTTTAAGTGAAAGGATTTTTAGAAAGTAAAGGTATGTGCTTCTAGCCTCATGACATAACTTGAATTAAAAAGAATTTTCATGTCTTTGCATTTTTGAATTGCATCATAGATTTCTAAAAATTATTAATATTTCACTAAGATAAAAATGAAGTCTATGTGATTGCTATATATTTGTATATATATATGTGTGTGTGTGTATTGATATATGTACTGATTTTTAGAAACTAAACACATGAGATTCTGTGTTACTATTTTAGTTTCTTTGGGTAATGAAATAATTGGAATTAATCATTATTTGGGGGGCATGGAAATACATGTATTTGACAGAACTAGAAGAACAGACTCGGAAAGCTCTAGAACTGGATCAGGAACGAAAACGAGCAAGAGAAGAAGCTGAACGGCTAGAAAAGGAGCGTCAAGCTGCTGAAGAGGCCAAGTCTGCTATAGCAAAACAAGCTGCTGACCAGATGAAGAATCAGGAACAGCTAGTAAGGAATTATATTAGATCTTAGAGAAAAAGAAAAAATTAAGTAAATGCGTGGCATGAACTTTTTAAAAACCATACCTGTGAAATGCAAACCAAAGGTATAGGGAACTTAATGAAGTATGAAAATAAACCTAAAACTTATTTCTGCCTTAAAGAAAGCCTAGAAATAAAACAAATAAATACCTTTACTGCCAATAAGATTCTCATTTGCTTATACTTTTGACAGGCTCTGCAGTAAGCCATCTGGCATCTTTTGTTCTAGATCGATTGATGCAGTATGTTCTGGTCTGTACATAACTATGGGCCATATTTCATTAGATTTTTGTTGTTGTTGTTTAATGGACTTCCAAATAATGAGGGGCATAACACTTAAAAGATCTATGGATTTAAGTATTAGTTCAGGTAATTACTTGCTATTTGCCTTTATGGCTTGTTTAGCCCCCCTGTCCCTCCCTGTGAAAAGGGGAATGATATACTTAAGAGAATTGTTGGGGAATCAGATGAGATTATTTGACAAAGTACTCTTTAAATTATAAAGCGTTATATAAACAATGTAGTATTTTTCTTTTGTAGGCTTTAGTGAAAGTTTACTGATAAAAATTTTTTAAAATAGCTAAGTTACAAATTTTAAGTTCCTATTACTAAATCAGGATTAACTACTCATCTATAAAAACTCATTCTATAGAATAACACTTAGTTTTGTCTCATTAGCTTATTATCTCAAGAGCTTAGTATAAATAAGCCACTTAGGATCTTCAAGAAATATTGCCTTTTTAAAAACAGAAGAATGTACTTGAATATTTTTGACTGAACATGTAAGATTATTCAAAATATATTAGGATTTTTTTTCTTTTTTTTTTTAGTATTGGTAATTATGTTGTTCTTTATAGGCAGCAGAACTTGCCGAATTTACTGCCAAGATTGCCCTTCTAGAAGAAGCCAAAAAGAAAAAGGAAGAGGAAGCAACCGAGTGGCAACACAAAGTAATCTATTCTTTGTCCACTAATAAGTCAGCAATATACTAACTTTATAGAGATGAATATAAGATTAACATATGTTCAGTACTTTGGGAACACAGAAGAGGTGATTAATTTCCAGGAACGAGCCAGTTTATTGGGGAAACTCATATACGTTTAAGCTGGATATTGAGCAATAAATTTTGGGAAAAGAAAAGATTGAGTACAGTTAGTGACTGAAGAGGTGGTCATTCTAGATAGAAGGGAATTGAATGAGTATAGGAAATATGGGCAAAAATAATGAATTTGAGGACAGTCAATAAATGACCAAAACATAGAGCGTAGATTTGGAAGTGTTGGTGATGTGCCTGGCAAATTGGATAGTTGAATTGTGGAAGGCTTTACATAAATGGCCATGCTAAGACAAAGTCATGGGGAATGTCTGTAGACACCAGGCTCTCAAAATTTCAAAACATAATTGTAGCATGATCAGGTAAGATTTTATAACAATAACAACAATAATATAAAGGATGTATTGAATATTGGATACTTAAAGAGGTAAAGACCAAAGGTTGTGGCGGTGAAGAAAAAGAGAAATGGAGAGCTGACATTTTGTGGTGCACTGAAAAGGGCAGGATAACCAATTCTTGGATGTTGAGTAGAATTAGAGAGTTACAGTGATGGTGCTGCTGAGATTTCTAATGAGAGTTCTTTGTAGAGGAATCCATCATTGTCAAAAGTGAAAATCAAGCTTCAGTTGAATGTGGGACATATGAGAGTTTAATGTAAACTTTAAAAGACAACTATAATGATTTTTTACACCCCAAAATACAGTTATATATCATAAAGTACAAAAGGAATTACTCACCAGAGTAATTTTTCTCGCCCAGGAGGGATAAGCCATCTGAGAAAATAGTGAAGAAATAAAAGACAAAGTCAGAAAAATGGTTTTAAATGCAGAGCTCCTGATAGGTCCAGCCTACACAGGAACTGGAGCTGACTGACGAGAAAATTGCTCTGTTGGTTTTATTTAAGGGGATACGTCAAAGGTAGGGATATGGTTTCAGATGTAGAGTCTTGCAGTCAACAGATTGATTGGCATCTTGATAGGCTATACCCATCTCTGAGGTGGTGTGGCTACAACAGGTCACCCCATCTCCACTGCTGTGTAGGACTTGGCAGAGCTGAATAGGACTGACATGTATCTGGGCGATTTTATCAGCCAGATTGTCACTGGAAGTTTCCAAATATCAGATTTTCCTATTCAATGGGCTTCCATGCTGATTTAGTCTACATATAGTCCAGGGATGGCTCTCAACAGTTACATTTGATGATGTTCTGTAATAAAATGTACTTATTATAGAAAATGTTTTTCTTTAATTTTCTTTGTAGCAGTTTAAATTTCATTGGGAAGTTTTTGATACATTTAAATTTACATATAGGGCCTGGGGATGTGGCTCAAGTGGTAGTGAGCTCACCTGGCGTGTGTGCGGCCCGGGTTCGATCCTCAGCACCACATACAAACAAAGCTGTTGTGTCCACCGAAAACTAAAAAATAAATATTAAAAAATTTTCTCTCTTTCTCTCTTAAAAAAATAAATAAAATAAATTTACATATAATAGTACAAAAGGAATAAAACTGTTTTATCTTCTTCTTATACTACTTCATTATTACAATTTTATCGTTCCCATTTAGGGATGATTTATGAACTTCAGAGACATAAGCTTTTAAAAATCTCATATTGCAGATACAAGTCCTTTGAACTGTAGAAACTTAGAAAATGTACACAAGAAATTGCATTCCCACAGATTAGGACAACATTATAAAGCATTAGTGCATATTTTCCTCTTTGTGTGTGTGTGTATGTGTGTGAGTGTGTGTGTGTGTGTGTGTGTGTGTGTGTGTATATATATATATATATATATATATATATATATACCCATTTATATATTTGAAATGAGATCTTATCATACCTGTAATTTCATTTTAGTGAATTTTTATCTCATCTAAACAGAATTTTTCAGTTTACCCAAAAAATCTTTTAGAGGTAATTTGCTGTGCCAGTGTTCAATTAGGACTTTGCACGCCTGCAGTACTTTTTTGCTCTAAGGCTCTTTTAATGTTGGACAGTCCTTTGTTTTTGATATTGATTTATAGAAGGAACCTGAAGAAATTGCTTCCTCTTGGTGTCATCCAGCTTGTCCTTTTATACCCACTATTTCCCATAACTGAAAGTTAAATCTAGAAGCTTGAGGAATTAAATGCTTTTTGTATAATGTATCATAGGTGAGACTTCCATATAACATAGCACACAAGAAGATCACAAAAGTGAGTAAAAGGGGGTGTTATTAATAATTATATAAGATAGCAGTGTAAAGAGGGCTTTTCTAGACAAATCAGGACAATAGAATCAATCAAATCATTGGTGATATTGGGTATTTTATGTTGTTTCATGTCAAAAGATTCTTACTATTTAGTTAACTCACCATTAGTGATTTTAATTGATCATTGGATTAGAGTAATGACAGATTCCTCCATTTTACTCCCATGTGGCTCAAATGTAATCTATTAGCCCTCTGCAAACAAAATAGTTAAACATTTGCATAATAATTTCAGCAGCAGTGGATAATCCTTGCCAGAATTAATGATTTTATTAGGGATTTTAAAACTTTTATTAGGGCTTTTAAAAATTTTTTATTAGAGGTTTGTAAAATAATGTTTTAAAAATTTTATCTCTTCTACCTGCTGGTATACTGTAAAAATAGAGTGTTCATCAGTAAGGACTATTTTCATTACGCTGAGATACAGTTTTTGCTAGAAAGGCAAGATAACTTGATTCTCTTAATTACCACTTTTCAAAGTAAGTTGCTCATGAATTTATTTTTAATGTTTAGGCTTTTGCAGCCCAGGAAGACTTGGAAAAGACCAAAGAAGAGTTAAAAACTGTGATGTCTGCTCCCCCTCCCCCTCCACCACCACCCGTCATTCCTCCAACAGAAAATGAACATGATGAACATGATGAGAACAATGCTGAGGCTAGTGCCGAATTATCGAATGAAGGGGTAATGAACCATAGAAGTGAGGAAGAACGTGTAACGGAAACACAGAAAAATGAGCGCGTAAAGAAACAACTTCAGGTAATTTGTAATTCTATGTACATGTAAAATGTAGTTTATATTTTGTCTATCTTAGATGAATGTATCGAAAAGAACTTAAGATTTTTAGCAATCTTATTAGTGGCCAGTCTTATAATTGGTTGTTTGGCCAATTATTTCATTTCTTCCTTTGTATGACTCTATTAACAAATGTTTGTTAACTAGTTTGTTAGCTTGACCCATTTTAAAAGGTAGAAAATATTCTATTGCTGTGTTGAAAATCAAATGAATATAGTTTTTAAATAGTAAAGTGCACATTGACAAGAATGTCCCAATTAATTCCACTATTATGGACCAATAAAAATATTTTTAAAGTGTACATTGACTATAATATTTAATAAACTACCTTTAAGGTATTATATAATCTGAATTAAAAGTTAAGGAAATTTAGAATAAAAAAATATCATGGTTGTAAGTGTGAAAATGAAAGGCCATGAATATTCCTCCCCAAGTACTACCATCACCGTTACAAAAAGTAGAGAAAATGATTTCACAGTGGAAATTTTAACATATTAAAAAGTCAGACTTGGTATATATGTATTTTTGCATCTTTAAACCATTTCCATACATTTTTTAATAGTCTTTTTTTTTTTTTAAATGTAGGCATTGAGTTCAGAATTAGCCCAAGCCAGAGATGAAACCAAGAAAACACAAAATGACGTTCTTCATGCTGAGAATGTTAAAGCAGGCCGTGATAAATACAAGACTCTTCGACAAATTCGGCAAGGCAATACAAAGCAGCGTATTGATGAGTTTGAAGCAATGTGAGAGCTGTTATTTTGCATACATGTTCTTCATAAGCTGAACCACCAACAGAGAAAAGCAGGCCTTTGCAGATGTGATGGAATGCATCCCACCTTGCCAAAGCACTTATACCAGTTTGACTGTGGTGGCTGAAAGACAAATTTAAGGAGAGCTCTTCAACATTAAGGCAGTGTGATATCATGCTCGGTTTTCTTTTTTTGTTTGGGCCAGGGGATGGAGAACCACGTTCCATCAATTCTTTTACATTTTTCAGTTTTCATTTTTCTTTTTCTGTTGAACATTCAACACTAATTATCATGACTGACAAATGTGTATGTATGGCTTGATCACTTTGTGCATTTAAAATAATGGTGAACCTTTCAATAAGTGTTTAGATGGAGCACTCAGTTTTCCCTTGCCTTTTTTGTGTTTAACCTATATACATTTCTTCATTCTCTTACATTTTCTCAGTGTGCCCTTCTCATATCCTGCCATTCCCATAGCCATAATTCTGCTATCATACAGGTCTTTGGTAGTGTTTAAAATTATGGCAGGGTGAAGAAGTGTTTGGTCACTGTGTAGATGATGACTACAAATCATGAAAAGGATTAGTACATTTAATAGTATAGTGTGTAGCTGATGATAAGGTTTTTAAAATAAAGTCCCAATTTAATTGCATTATTGGATATTTGTTATTTGCTTACTTAATTACAGTCATTTTTGACAGCTAAATTGATTGGTGTTTCATCTCCTGTAATTTTTGGTGGTCTTCTTTGCTAGTCACTTCACAGAGGTGTAGTTAGTTCCTAGGAGAGGTTATTGATGAAACACTACCTACAAATAAGTTGTCTCAAAAACTTGAAAAGTTTTGTTCTTTCATGAGTTGATTTAGAAAAAAGGATGTCTAATAAAAGAAAGTAAACATTTGTTGGTAATTAATTTTAATCACTAAAAGGAAAATGACCTTTCTGGAAGGGCAGTATATAAAAACATCAGTCCCAGGAAGGGGACAGTAATACTACCTCACTATTACACCTACAATGACTGGTTTCCAACACATGAAATGTGTAAGCTGTATGTTTATTATACATTAAGACAGTCTCAATTATGAAGGAATATTTTTGAGACTTCATTTTCCTTTAGAATATGTGAATGCTAATTTTTTAACTGACTTTTTGTTAAGTTGAACTGTGGGCTCTGATTTGTGTTAAAATTGTAAGATGTCACTGGTATACTATCTTCCTAGAGGGGTGTTATGTCTGAGGAAATGTGTGTCTTTGTGTGTGAGAGTAAGAGATGTTACCTTTGTAGCATATAAAGAATGTCTATACCTTCATTTCTTGATATGATAGTTACATGATCATTTTAGCATTTTTGGTTTCTAAATCACTGTGCTTATTTTTTTAATCTATAACTTAAAAATTAAATTTGGTAATCTTATTTTAGAAATTATAATATTTAGGCTGTTAATTTTAATTATCTTACTAAATAAATTTTCCCAGTTAGAGATATTCTAATATTTTCTTTATTATTAAATGCCTGGATTTGAAGATATGGAAAGCCTTGTTTTCTCTGTGTGGTTCAGCTACTTTGCATTTGGTATTGTGCACTCAAATTTACATTTATTAAAATTGCCATTTTATTAAACATTTTTCATGCACAGTAGATTCAAGTTATGTCTGAAAATATCTCTTGTGCTTTTTTATTTTGCTAATTTTAAAAGGATTAATCTGGGCAGACATTATGAAAAGGAAAGGTTTTGCTTAATATATTTTGAACTTGTAGGACAAAAGATAACTGGTTAACCTTGAAGTGACTGTTGTACAGTGGTGTGCACATGCTTCAAAATCCTATGAAAGAGAATGTTTCTACTTGGTACACTAGAGGAGTAAATGGTAGACCCTACTGTTCATGCTTTGAAAAAATTTTTACTTTTCCAAAGCATTAAAGGAATTGCCATAATAGTAAAAACCTGGATTTCCATTAATTTTTCTAATTTTGAATTGTGTGCACTATCATTGCTACATCAGTTTGTTACAGTGTTGAAAAATTACCAGTTACATTTGCTGTTTATAATCTATTTGTAGATTAGGATTAAAATGGATTTAATCCATTTTTAAAGCTGTGTGGATTTTTTAAAACAGGAACAGCCATTTGCAATATGGATTTTCATAGTGATTAAACCAATATAACTTATCATTAGCAGTTGAGCACATGTTCATATAGTAATGTAAAATACACTAATGAGTATTTGGTAAATTCCAATAGGCTTTTACCATTAGTATATTTTTGTGTTGTACAACTAAGTTACATCTCTAATTTTGGATAATATTCATTGGTTAACAATAAAGTAACAAAAGCTCATGACTTCAAGGTCCACTGTTGTTCTTTAACATGAATTTCTTCTATATTTCCTGAAAATCTTAATCCCTATCAGAGCTCTGAATCATTGCATCTTAAAAGTGATAAGTGGACAGGAAGAAGTTTTAAAATCCTTGTAGATTTACTCATTCCCCCAGATTATACTGATATTACTATAGAAATAATTGTGTTTATTCTGTGGAAAAATTAAATTGACTTCTGACAACAAAAGATTATTTAGGATTTTCTGTCATTGGCTTTTAATGTAGAGATTTTTTTTTTTCCTTGAGGAAGACAGTTTCTTTGTCAACAATTCATCTCATTATTAAACTTTTGATGTTCTTTAAAGAACTGGATGCTAAGTGTATTTATTTAAGCACATTCTTATTTTAAAGCCATATTACAGAGCAGATAACATAAATGTTTAAGTTACTTGCCTTTTTAAAAGCACCTTACTAATTTTTAACAAATATTTTTTTAAATAAACAATTGGTAAATCTACTCTAAAAAAAACCAGGTGTCTTCTCAATTCATAGTAGTACTTAATTGTACTTTATGTTCTCAAGGGCTGGCAGTGATTTCTTTACTCTGATCTTGTAAGAAAAGAAATTTTTTATGCTTTACACCTTCTTGGTTTTTATTTTTTAAAATACTGGGCATTGAACCCAGGGGCACTTTGCTACTGAGTTACATCCCAGTCTTTTTTTTTTCTTCCTAATTTTTTGAGACAGGGTCTCACTGAGTTGCCGAGGGTGGCCTTGAACTTGTGCTTTGCCTGCCTCAGCGTCCAGAGTTGCTGGGATTACAGGCATATATACCACTGAACCCAGTGAAACTTACTCTTTTTTGATAAGAAAAGTATCTTAATATTAGTGTCATGTATAAAAGAATTCCCCACATGATGAACTTTTTAAATTCAAAAGCATCTCGTTGTGTATATGCACAATGAAAACTCACCTTTTTAAAAGTTAGTTTGAATCTGAAGTATGAGGAATTACTAACTATAGCATTAACTGATTTGTAAATCAAAGTGTAGTATTAATAATAAAAATAAGGGAATACATTTCAATGCAGAGATACATTTATAGGCAAATTCCTCTCAAATTTGTTCTAAATGAGCAGAAGAACTTTAACATTTTATATTTTCTTCTTTTTTTTTTAAAGTATCAGAGATAGAACCCATGGGCTTAACCACTGAGCCACATTCCAGTCCTTTTTATTTTTTATTTTGAGACAGGGTCTTGCTAAGTTACTTAGGGCCTCTATAAGTTCCCAAGACTGGCCTGGAACTTGCAATCCTCCTTTCTCAGCCGCCCAAGTTGCTGGGAATACAGGTGTATATCATCATGCCTGGCTCTCTTTATTCTTTTAAACTAATGTACCTATCAAATATTCTAATGTAGTTTAACATTTAGATTGAAGGTGTCCTAGCAGATTTTGGAAGCTCAATAGTTTCTGCATATGTTTTGATTACTGCAAAGATATGTCCAGGCAGTTTTGATTTCTTGCATTCTACACTGGTAGGTAGGAAGAATTGGCTTATAACAATGTTCCATGTCAAAGCTCACTACATTCTCATCCTTGGCTTTTCCAACTAAATAATTTTAACTCCCTATTTTTTTCCTAAGAGGACATACTTCTCAATATGTCTTCTTTTGAGAATTTAAGAACTGCCATTTTCCCTCTGAAAAAGTTATGACTTCCTGCTTGGTACTTCCTGCTCAGTATTTTGACTTCTTTTAAGCCCCGTAAAACAGAGTTTCCTGATTTGGGGAGATATATGTTATATATATTCACACACACGTTTATAAATACATACATACACACATGAATGATATATAATTAAGATCTATGTACAATTATATACTATAGATTATGCTTATGTTTAATGTATAAAAATATACATACACTATATATATTATACATAAACTGCTTTACAAGTTCAAGTGTTCCATCATTTCCTGCAAAATTTTAATGTTAAAAGAGTATAACTAAGATAATTACCCCATGACACATCCTTTGAATCCAGTTTTATGTTTGGTTCTGGAGTTCCCTATCTACTCAGTTCCATATTCTTATTTGATAATAACCTTCATTTAAAATATTTTTATTAATAGTCTGCTACATTTGCCAACTTAGAAGCAAGATTAAAATGACTATTTTGGCAATCTTAAATTAATATTTCAATTTTGATTATATGCATTTATTACAATTTCAAAACAGCAGTGCCACATGTTGATTCATGTTATTTGTATGCCCAGATTCCTCCATGCTTATAGCTAGCCACTTGCTTCCATTTGTGAAATTTATTTTTATTACTCTATTCTAATTATTTTTTATTTTTATTTAGTCATTTAAAAAATCGGATTAATTTTGATATTTATGCATGTCATAAAGTTTGCTCCTAAAAACAGTGATATTGGCTTTAGTTTCTCATCTTTACTAAAGCAATACAGACAGACGCCCATCTTCCTAGGGGAAATATGGCATCAAAATTTCTGTGGTTATTCATGTTACTGTCTTCAGAAAAATTCCTCCTGAAAAATTGTGGAATTGTTCTTGTACTCATGTCATGATATTCCTTTTAGTTTTTTTCAACTTAAATGTTTTGTCTTGTTTTACATCTAGAAATGCATGTATCTTAAAATTATAAAGCAATGTTAATTTAATTATTTTAAACTTTAGCTGCTTTGGATAAAAATTAGAGTTGTGTCCATTATTAAGGAAACAATAACATGAGGAAGATCAACTGCAGAAAAGATAATGACTAATAGATAACATAAATAGTATAGGTTTCTCTAGCTTGCCTGTTCTCTGATAAGTTATTTTTAGAGGTCAAATTTTAAACCTGGATTAATAAAGATATTTTTAAAGATAGAAGACCCTAATTTTAAAAGTTTCTTTAACTTTATAGGAAGATTCATTTTATACCCACACTGAAATCTGGTCTAGTAACTAGTAACATCTGTATTAAATATTGAAAAGATAGAGTTAAGAGTTTTCAGTTGAATCTTTATGGGTTTGTTGTTTTACAAAATATGTGTTATATAAAATTTACCATTTTAACCGTTTTTCAAGTGTTCATTGGCATTTAGTATATTCACAGTACATTGTGTAATCATCACCACCATCCAGAATTTTTTCATCATTTCAACCTGAAACTCTGTACCCGTTAAACAACTCCCCATTTTTTCCTCCTCCCTAGCCCCTGGTAACCACTGTTATGTATTTTCTGTCTCTATGAATTTGAGGTTTCTGAGTACCTCATAAAAGTGATCTCATGTAATATTTGCCCTTTTGTGTCTGGCTTATCTCACTTAACATATTTTCACTTAGCATAATATCCAAGTTGCATGTATCTGAATTTTTTTGAGGCTGAATTGTATACATATATCACATTTTGTTTATCCATTCATCAGTCAGTGGATATTTAGATTGTTTCCACACTTTGACTATTCTAATGCTGCTATGAACATTGGTCTACAAATATCTGTTAGATTCCCTGCTTTCAGATCTTTTGGGTAGATATGATTGCTAGATCATATGACAAATCTGTGATAATTTTTTGAGGGCCTGCCATGCTGTCTTCCACTGCTGTCTACACTATTTTACACTCACACTGGAATGCACAAGTGTTCTAACTTTTCATATCCCCATCAACACTTGTTATTTCTGAATATTTGTTTGCTTGCTTTTGATGTAGTTATCCTGATGGTAAAGGGGTTTCCCATTTTGATTTGCATTTCCATGTGGCACATTTCCCAAAGCATATAAGATGTTAGGTATCTTTTCATGTGCTTATTGGTCATTTGTATGTATTTGTAGCTGGGATTACAGGTGTGTGCTACCTTGCCTGGATGTCATGTTCTTTAATGAGGGAAAACAGTTTGATGAAGTTATTACTGAAGACAGAGGCAAGGTAGCAGAGATGTTATAGACAGAGGTTAGAGTGTGTAGAACAGAAAATGTGAGTCACTGTGTACTGTTTTAGGATGATAAAACTAGAGTGTGTTGGGCCAGGAATTTGTGGAGCCTTGAATTCTGTGCTGTGGTGGTTTGGTCTGATTTAAGGACAACTGGTGGCTTTGAGAAAGCACAACTACAGAAAGGAAAAATAACACAATCTTACTTGAAATTCTTTCTGTGTAAGATATACTAGAAAATACAGAGGATAAAGAAAGCCTGTAGAACAACTGTATATATTATAATTAGCCCAAAGAAAGGCTGTGGCCAAGGAGATGAATATTACCACCCTTGAGAACTGAAAGGAAATATCTACAAGGAATTTATTATGTTTGCTACATGTATTATTAGTTTTTCTTCTGCTTATTTTCCAAATGACCCCTTTTGGAACACTGTTTCTATTTATCCATGACCTTTTAGGGATGGGTTCTTGGTGAACTAGAAATAGAGACATCTAGGAACAAATGGATTTTATTCTGGATTCTAATTCTCTTTTTTTCTTATATTCTAGTTTTGATAACTGATTTCAGAGTTGTGAATCTGATGGTCTTTTTCAGAGCATTTCTCTGGAATCAGATATGGATGCTTTGATTCCAGATCTTGTCTTTACAGAAAATACATATAATAATATACTACCTGGGCTGGGGTTGTGGCTCAGTGGTAGAGTGCTTGACTGGCATGTGTGAGGCACTGGGTTCTATTCTCAGCACCACATATAGATTAAATAAAATAAAGGTCCATTGACAACTAAAAATATTTTTAAAAATACACTGCCTAACTATGGTTAATATCTATGAACTTTTGAATTACTAATTCTTATTTGTAGTTGAAAAGCTGTTTCCTCTGTGGTGCATGTAACTATAGTTCTGTCAATCTTTGTGCTCCCAGATGATCCTAACAATGTGACTAGAAGAAACTTGAAGTTGTTTTGTTGTTGTTGTTGTTGTTACCACCAATTCTCTCAAGTTGCTGCTATGTACCACTGTGCCCAGCTTGAAGGTTTTTTTTTCCAAGAGGTTTTTAGGGTTTAGAAAACCAGTTCT